AGAGAGAATAACCTGCCTCTGTCTTTAAACTGCAGCAGCTGATAACAAGAGCTCAAGGCTTAGCTTTCAGCAGTTAATGGCAGTTTACAGCAGTTCACAAATCCAAAGACAGATCCCAACTTAGCCACGGGGGCGTATCTGAGCCTGAGGGGGGGCCGCAAGAATTATCATGCTGATACAGTAGTACTACCCAAAGTCAATGAATCAGGTCTGATTACTGAAGTGATACAGTCCTCATAGCCTATCAGATCTGATTCATTGACTTTGGGCAGTACTACTGTATCAGCATGATAATTCTTGGCTGTGTACAGTGGCCTGGGACCCCCATCAATTTTTATTGATAATGATATTCATTATTATTTTGTTCACCTAGCCTAGTAATAAAATTTAACCACCTTGTAGTCATTTACATTTTACAATACATTGCACAGCAGCACATGTACAAAAAATGAGTACAGTAGTAGGCAATAACAAAACACTCATTTTATATTAATCATTGTTGAAAACGTAAGAATTTGATACTTTAAAATACGCAAAAATGTAGTCAAAATGCTATTTTAGTGCACCATGACAAGTGTTGGCTGTGATAGCACAATTCCAACAGGTCTTGTCACATCAACATGTTTCCAGTTTCCTAGCCCACTGGTCATCTCCTCCTCTCCCACTTCTCCTGTTTACGTATCAGAGACTCCTCCTTGCTCTCCTTACATGCCATCAAGTACTACCATATACAGTCATACTCAATATCAGAGACTAGCAACACCACACAGGTTAGTTCGCCATGCACTATTATGAACATTATAATACTACCATGTATATACAGTAGCTAGAATTTTGAGAATTTGAAGAATCACACAAATTTATAGTCCTCAAAATTTGATGCACAAATTAATGAGTTAATTAAGTTAAAAGTTGTCGAATTTGCAAAAATTGGTGCTGTGTGTAGTTAGTGGTGGCTGCAGTTGTATGGTTTTAAGTTTGTATTAGCAACCAGCCTAGCTCTATAGCCAAAGTTGAGGCTATTGATACTATCAATTTCACAAGAATGATCCTTTAAGAATAGTGCAAACTGATACATCAAGAGGTGCATATGTCACTTTATGGGGCTGCATTTAAGATTATTATGATCCACTAAGTTGCAGTTTGCACAGATACTCTCACATTGTACTTTATTACTCATCTATTTATTAATTTATTTGTTTGTTGTGCAGGTAACAACATCTCCAAGAGATGCATGTAGTCCAACTTTTCTGTCTCCCCCTCTCTCCTCTCCCTCCCCCTATCCTCTAAGAGAACCTTACTACACTCACTTCAGATACCCACCGGAAGACTTTATCTCGCCAGTACCACCAAACTATGCAGCGTCTCCTACTCTACACATGGGGACAGGGAGAGAGGGAGGGTACATGTATGATGCAGTACCACCCACGCTAATTAAAATGGATGGACCTCACAACATCCAACAACCCCATCCTCCAAGTTTAAAGTTAGAACAAGGAGACTGCACTTGTGGTACTAATTATCCAGTGATGGCTCCCTTTTCTCCTAACTCTCCTCTATCAGCAGTCAGTATATAATGGAGACACTATGGATGTACTTGATCCTCAGGAGATGAACCTCTGCTCTGCTGTGTGGGCGGTGTATACTTATGTGTTAGCTGATCTTGATGATGTACTGCCAAGAGGATAATGTGATTAATAGTAACACTTATAGTCTTAGTTCCCTCATGTACGTGTACATGCTTCTATTAATGCTATTGAATTTAACATTGTTTATTTTTGTACTGTTAGTATTAGCAAGAGTTCACCGTACGTCAAGTCTTCAAAAGTTAACTATTGGAAGTTATTTAATTGTTATGAAAAGTCAAATTAATTGTTATGAACTTTACTTAATCATAATTAACATTTACTGTCTTAAAATTAATGGTTACATTTTACGGCAAGAGGCAGAAAAATATTGTATCAAAAAGTGTATCAGTATTCAGTACAAAAGTAGCAGTTCATTTTAATTCATTTTCATTCATTTCTCATTCTCTTTGTCTCTTGATAAAAATGTTAGAAGTGGTTCCTCCAATGTCAAGGTACTTGTCAATTTCGTCTGTCGCAGCATCTTCATCGTACACGTAAAGTTTTTGTATTTTTATGTACGTGCATTTTGTATTTAACATTATTTTTGTACTGTTAGTTATAGTAAGAGTACATAAAGTCTTCAAAAAATACAATTAACTATTAAAAATTAATTAATTTTTACTAAAAGTTAATTAACTTATCCACACCTACTTAATCATAAACTAAAAACGAGCTAAAAAAGTATTTTCTAAACTAAAAAAGTGGTATCAGCATTCAGTAAAAAAACAGCAGTTCATTTTAAGTTATTTTCATTCTCTTTGTCTTTTGATGAATATGTCAGAAGTGGTTCCTCCAATGTCAAGGTACTTGTCAATTTCGTCTGTCGCAGTGTCTTCGTCATATACATAAACTGAAAACTCAATCGACGGAATTATTCTGCACTGAAGCTTCCCAAACTCCTGCTGCAACTCCACACAATCAATCTGAGACTTTAATATCTGTAAAAAAAAAATAATAATAACAACAACATTAATAACAATAATACTATTAGTAATAGATAATGAAGCTTTCTTCATTAAAATTAGTTCATAAAAAATCCAATTTTGATCGGAATCAGCTCAAACTTTCTACACAACATAAGAACATGTATATGCATCAGGGAATGTTATAAAAATTGAGACTTTTCTACTTTTCATTTTTGGCAAAATTTGGCCTGAGACCATTATGTTTATTTCTACCCTTTTTTATAATAAAATTTTTGAGGGCTCTGTTCCCTTTTCAAATGTACTATTTGGCCCAACTTTGGAGTAACTTTAAACCCTTAGTTAGAAATACTTACAACATCAGGTATTGGAGTGAGAGGCGCTACCTTCCAACCTTTGAGGTCCATTTGGCTCTTAAACTTATTGAGTTCCATCAACAGCTCTCCATCACCTTTCCTTGTCGTAAATAAAAATGGGTGTGACTCAATGGTGCCAACTGTCTCAGACTGTGTATACTACAAATAAAAAATAAAGATTATTAGTAAAAATATAAAATACATTATTTTAAAAAAGCCCAACCTTATAGTGTGCACTTAAATGCTTTGTGAAGAGTATACTCATAGTCCAGGAGTTTTTATAGTCTCGGACATAAGAGCACTGACCAGCATACTTCATAGATGTATCCCTCCTACATTAATAATAATAAATAAATAAATAATTAATTAATTAAACTAACGTTGATCCACTATACAAGACACACAAGAGACAGCTGTCGTTGATATCCAGCGAAGCATACGTCTCTCCTCTGGGGAAACTCCCTTTTTCAACGCAATCAAAAACAAAAACCTTCTTCTCCAAATCAATGGCTGCAGTGGCAAAGCACATCTTACTGGCCGTAATCTCATCATTAAGATCAACACAATGCTCCAGCTTGACAGTGACAGGTTTAGACAGCTGTTCGGGTAGCGAAATATCGTATATAGCACTGACAATAGTGTAGCCATCAGGTAGGACAAAGGGACCTGAGAATATAGTGCGGACATTAATGGAGGATTCCTCTTCAGTGGCAACTGGTATAATCATCTTATAGCCGCAGTCTGTGTTTTCAAGTGTGGACGTCATCCCTCCTTCTATTGAGTGCTGCTTCAGCTCAATAGTACCACAGGTGTCTGCAAACAGAAATAAATGAATAACTGTACAATCTAAATGTACTATACACAAGATATTACAGGATAGTTCATAATGCTTTAATTACAAGTTTGTCTACAGTCTTTCTTTATAGCAGCTGCTCAAAACCCGCCAAAACCTATTACTAACATAGCTTACCTTTAAGCATGTCTTCAGTTTGTTTAATGAGCCATTGAACTACCTTATTGCTGTCAGCTTTCCCAGTCTTGTCTTTTGAAGACTTGTGTATGTGATAACTATGATACACAATAAACCCTAGATCAATGGGAACAGTCACTGCTAATGAGGCCCCAGCCAGGACCACGCCTAGTGTACGGGCTCCAGTACGTAAAGCAATAGCTCCTACCTCAGCAGCTGATTCTATTCCAATAGCGATACCCATACCAACCCGCCCCAGACTAGCAAGACCGGCTCCACCAGCTGCTACATTTCCCGCCAATTCGCCTCCATCAAGAGCCGACTCAACACATTTCTTCATGGCTTCATTATACTTAGCGGCAACGTTATTGATACTAATGCTCAGCTGCTGATCAAGGCTGATGTGCTCCTGGGCCAACTTGAGTCTCTTATTTGATAGAATTTTTGAAGCAATAAAAGCTCCAATCCCTCCTAGTGAGGCAGTAGCTCCGACCACACCCCCAGCGACCGATAGACCTATTGACACACCAAATGTGAACGGGAGGAGAGCAAGACCAGCGACTACCATACCGCCCCCGAGGACTATACTAGCGGAGGAAGCTGCTATCCTAGCTATCCTCTCATGGCGGACGATGGAGAGTACTGCTTCTTTGTTATCTGAGAGGACGCTGATGGTCTTACAGCGAATGGGGTACCACATTGAGCGGTATAACTCCAGCTGCTTCTTGTAGTACTCTTTCTCTGCTCTAGAAATTAAATAAGAAATTAAAAAATGCATATAATTTAATTAGGAGAAAACAAGCAAATTGCATGTACATGTACATGCAGCTACGTGCAAATACAAATGTATATTCAAAATAAGAAACAGAGAGCTCAGCTAACCTTGAGTGGAAAGGTACATAGCGTGCGGGCAGGACAAACTTTTCGGTAAAATTATCGATGTATACACAAAAAACCTTGTCATGTTTCCTGTTGCAATCCTTGTGGATCTCAGAGCAGCACTGCTGTATGCTGGCCTCATGAGTGAGTTTACTGCTAACAGTCTTGAGGACTACGCTACTGCTGTTCTGATCAACTGACGTTATGAGTGCGATAGAGTTTTTAGGAAGAACTGACGAAAACTGAAGTCTCTCGCTCGGCTCTTTGATGTGAGCTAAACTGAAGTAAAATATCTTTGGTACTAAAGCAAGGTGGGACTGATCGTCACGGAAGTACTCAAAAATATTGTCAGTGTATATTATTTCATTGTTGCAATCATAAAGCTGCCTAGTCTTCCCTTTAGAAAGGAGAACGAAAGCGAATGTGGCCAGTTGAGAGGCATTGATGTGGAGAAGCATCTCAAGTAAAGTACTGACAGATTGGGAGCTGAGTGTGTTAAAGTAGAGGGTACAAAACCCAAGGTTTTCAAGGGTTTTTATGAACTCTTTAGCATCATCGTTGATTGTTTTAGCCCCGTCCTCTTCAACTTTAACTTCACCATGATTATCAACAATGAAGGCCAAATGAATCTCTATAAAATAAATAAATAATTAAAATAAATAAATAAATAGGTGGCACTTACTGTCGTTCAAGTTCAGCCTGCTAAAGTTGTGTTTTTTGATTTGCGAGTGAACGGATTTCATCAAATTATGCAGCCAGTTGTCTCTATCAGGTAACTTCAACGGGTTGGGATTATAAAAATTTGGCTTATAATGGCCAGCTGGTACGAAATGAGCATATTCATCCGTTTCACAATTCCGTTTCAAAAAAGCGTTGATGTCATCAGATCTCAGCTGCACCCTGTGAATAAACCTCTTCCTTATTAACTCTGCCCATGCATCCTGGTCGGTAAACGGAGGCTCTGGACCGTCTTCATCACGACTGTCCTTCTGTTCGCATCTCTCATTGTTAGCAAAAGTGAGGACGAATACAACTCTCTTCCAAAAGGTAGGACCAAACGCTTGATGGAGCCTGTGCAGAGCCAATGTGTCATCATAAGCCAGCCTATGGTTGGTCATCTTCATGCAGTACAGAACTAAACTAACTTCCTGACACTGAACCTTCATGTCTTCTATGTACAGCTGCTCGTTAACATGGATATCTTGTAGACCAGGCGAATCGACGATCCTCACCTTGACATCTGGTAACAGCTCCGGGTGGACATAAGAGTGGGTTGATCTTGTACACATGTCAGTCTCTGCTCCTTCTTGAGCAATATCTTCTCCTAATTCAATCAAGCTGTTGATCAGGGTTGACTTTCCCTGTCCCGTTTTGCCCACCATTAGGAGGTAAATGTCCGAATGGGTTCCTTCGCTAGCTAGAACCTGTTTCAATGTTGACATGGCACCTTTATCTAAATTAAAATTAAATTATATATTACGGGAATTGTTTTACTAAACCACACCCAATAAATTCATTTATTTAAGTCACACCCATTTAATTATATACATGTATAGCGTAACCAAGAGTAGATAATAATAGAAGAGAGTGTCCTACTGTGCATATACCCCCTGCTTCATCACGGTGTAGAATTGAAGAGTCACATTCCAGTTATTTTCAGTATTTTTGAGTAGTTATTCAAAAATAACTAGCAATAACTACTCAAACTCAATGAAAATACGGAAATATTCTGAATGTGACTCTTCAATTCTACGCCGTGATGAAGCAGGGGGTATTTATTTATTTATTTATTTATTTATTTATTTATTTATTTCAGAAATTTACAGTACACATTAATAGAAAGAAGCAGAGATTAGAAAAGAGAGTAAATAGCAGTACTGAGGGTAAATGACCGGGGGGTTGATATACAAATGGGCCCAGGGGGGGTTGGAGTGAGCATATAGGAA